AGGGCATTTTAAGATGAGATTAAGAGAAAGATTAGAGCGCCACCCTTATTCAATGATCTGAGCCCTCTACCAAAATAGTCAATTATTAATCTTAACCGTCCATTAGAGGGGTCTAACTCTCGAGAAGATTAAAGTATCTCACTGATGGCGAGCGGGACCCGTCTCCATCAGCTCAAGAGACACCGGCAGTCCGAGTTCAGCCCAATCGACACGCAAAGACGAAGGAGCCTGGCTTTCACTACATGGCCTAGCCCTTCGGGACGACGACATTCCACTTCCGCAACGACGATGAACTCGAGCTCACCCTTATCTTTCTTTGTATTTTCACGTTGACTTGTTGGGCCTTGTGTTTGTGTGTTAGTAGTCCCAATTCTATGTGTGTGTGTTGTTGTTTGTGTCTCCCTTTCTTTAGGGTTTTATTGGGTCTCTCTTTTGAGGCCCAATTAAAACCCTAAGGGGGAGGCACCTATGTGTCTTTCCTTTTGGGCCTCTTTTGGGGCTTATATGGGTCTTCATTTGAGGCCCACTTAAGCACCATATGAGGGCCCTCCTCTTTCTCCTTTTAGGGGAGCTTATTGGGTCTCTCTTTTAGAGGCCCAATAAGCCCCTTTTGTTACCTTTTTGTGGCTTATGGGTTTGAGGGCCTCAAGTGGGCCCACCTCCCCTTAGCCCACTTGTGGGACCTATATAAGGGGAGGTAAGACCCCCCCTCAAGAAGGCGCACCAAATTTTGTGAGAGATTATCGTTTGTGAGTTACCTTCTTTGTGACCTAGGATAGGGAGGGAAGGAGGGAGAGGAAGGCTGTCAATACCCTTTGAAGACTTCGTTCATCGTGACGCTGCTGTCTGAGAAGTCTTGTCACCGCCTGAGACCAACTGCCACCGCCGGACATCTTCATTGCCACCCGTGAGATCGCCGCCGTCACCAGATGAAATGGTCGCGATTGCCACTGTAACTGCCGCCACCTCTACTGGAACCTCGTCATGCTGTCGTGACGAAAGGGGCTTGCTTCGCCTCCCTACGAGCTGTTGCTGAGCACTTTGTCAGAGTCTATTGACTCCTAGTTTGACTGCCCCCACTTCCTTTGGAACTCCACCATAAACTCGCCGGAGCTGCCCTCCGCCGCTCCGCCCAGTCATTGGCCGTTCGCCGACGAATGCCTACCTGCCGCCGATGTTGGGAGTGACCCTGCAGCCATGTCGACGAGCCAGATCCAGTCCAAGCTCCGCACAGGCCCCCGTCGGAGTTTCCTGACGATCCACCACCATCGCGCCGTTTCCGACGCCACCTAGACCATGAGGGCTCAAGCCTTCCTCTGCTCCACTTCCCAGCGCCGCTAGAGAAGGCTGATCCTTCCGGTGACGGTTGGGCTTCTGCCCAACCACCGACGCTCGGCATTCCCACCGAAGCGCCGCCGCCACGTGCGCCCCACGCGCCAGCTCTTGCAGCCCGCGCACCCACCCAACGCTGCCGCTCGCGTGCCTACCCCATCCACCCGGACGTCTCTACTTACGTTGAGTCTCCACTCTGTCACGACCTACCAAGCTACGTAGCCCCAAAGGTTAGCTCCGTACCCCCTTCTTAGACATGATAGGACGGGTTATAGGATCATGACGACTGACGTTGCGTTTTGTTGTTTGTCTGGGAGTAGACCTAGAGGGTCTCACACTTACCATTGTCGAGTTTTTCCCTGAATTGTCCTGGGTTGATAGTGTATATTGGTACGCCTGCCTGTACTTAGGTTAGGTGGTCAGAACTAGAGTCTAGGGTCCATACATTCTTATCGGATAGGTTCGACTACCCCATCCCGGGTCTTAAGTTTCATTGATCAGGTACAAGGGTTCTCATCCTGTTCGGCATCAAATTGGAATCAGAGCCAGGTTAGGTTATCACCTAACCTCAGTCCCCTGAGGACGCTCACCGAGCTTCCATACCACTAGTAGACCATTCATATAGGATTGCATTGGCATTTAGGCACCTATAAGACCCAGCCATGGTAGAGACACGCTCAGTCAGAGCTCGAGGAGGTTCACCATCGCCACGGCACTCGCGCAAGGCCTCAGATCTTGCTACTCCCCGAGTAGCTAGAGTGGACACGAGTCCACCATCTCCGTTGAGACCGACGGATTCAGTACCAGACCCCTCTCAACCTCGGGAGACTTCGAGCCCTATGTCGGCCAGAGAGGCATCAAGGCGGCCCCAGCCACCCATGGCTACAAGCCGCCGAGCTGGGAAGGAATCCACGCTTTACTATCCACCGAAGAGTACTAAGGGTCATGGCAGAGGTGGCCGATGGCAACCTTCACCCTAGTACCCTTCAAGGATGGAGCGTGCTCCCTCCCAGATGATGTCATGTGTAGCATGACCAAAGTGTCTGGAATGAGCTACCTTTGTAGCCACAGCTCATGGCCCACCGCCACCGGCTCCACTACCAGTCACGTATCTGGTCGCACCACCGACCGCACCACTTGTTACACAGGCATATCAGGAGCATCGCGAGCCCTACCGCATAGTAGAGCATATGGAGGAACCCGCCAAGGACACACAGTTCACCCCACCTCTGATCACCACGAAGACTGTGTCCACGCGATCTGCATAGACACCGACGACAGCACCGATGCGTGCTAGCATAGGGAACGGACGGATTACACCAACGACATTAGTAGGGTCTACACCACCCCCACATCCGCCACCAGCCGACGCATCCGACCATGCTACGGCTGCGTTCCAAGCCCTTATCACTTGTTTCAAGTGTAAGGGTAAGGGGCATCGGATGAGCCAATGCCCATCTTCGAATCTCCTCATAGATTGGGTAGCGATTCACACGAGAATGACGTCCCCATAGGCGATGATGTCTACATTATTGATGAGGGTTTGGCCAAGGAGTGTGATGACACTCCTGATTTGATTGGCTACATCCAGATCCGGCCAGCCACCGTACCCGCAGTCGAGGCTGCCTCTCTCGCTGCCTCATCGACGAGCACTTCATTGAAGGGACTGGTCAGTATCGCTGTCCAGCATCCATCTCGAGACGTGGTTCCTACACCACAGCCAGACACCACAGCAGCTAGAGAGATCACATCGGCACTGAGGACGACTATGCCCACATCTTCGCCTACGACAGACGACTCATTTTACATGTAGATCTTCTACACTTATGTGAACATCAACGGACACACATGCAAGGTGATCGTGGATAGCGGTAATTGCGTCAATGCCGTGTCAGACCAGGTCTTGTAGAGGGTAGGGCTGAGTGCTATTAGCCATCCAGCCCCTTACGACGTATCGTGGATAGACACCACTGCACTACCCATTTGTTGACAGTGCCAGATTCCACTTAGGGTGAGCACCTATGATGAGCACATCTTGTGTGATGTCCTTCCGATGAAATTTGACAGCATCATATGTGGAAGACCCTAGTTGTTTGACTATGACGTCCAACTCATGGGAAGAGCAAACACTTGCTCTTTCATGTATCGAGATTGCCGACTTGTTTGGTATCTGTATACCAACAAGCCCCCACCGAAGCGTGACCCTAAGTCACGTATTGGGTTAATCGTGATGAAGTGACCTACCTTTCAGCACAAGTTCACGTTGGACATAGATGGATCCCTGACGTGCTTTGCTCTCACTTTGGATACGTGAGACGACACAACCCTTACCCCGCCTTCTCTAGAAGTCGAAGGTATATTATCAGAGTACGCCGACGTACTCTCAAAGGAGCTTCCTAGAGAGCTACCTCCATTGAGGCACATTCAGCATGATATCGACTTGGTTCCCAAAGCATCATTCCCAAACCTGCCGCACTATCACATGGAGCCGGCCAAGTACGAGGAGCTTACCCGATAGGTACAGGAGCTTTTAGACAAGGGACTCATCTAGCCGAGCTTTAGTCCCTGTGCTGTGCCTACATTACTAGCGCTGAAGAAGGATGACTCTTGGCGCATGTGCTTCAACAATCACACGATCAATAGGATAACGAATAAATACTATTTTCCGATCCTGCAATTACAAGACTTATTCGATATGATGACAAGAGCCACTATCTTTTCAAAGATAGATCTATGCAGTGGTTATCATCAAGTCAGGATACGCCTAGGGGACGAGTGGAAGACCGCCTTCAAGATCAAGGAGGGCCTGTACAAGTGGAAGGTCATGCCATTTGGCCTCTCTAACATGCCCAGTATGTTTTAGAGGCTAATGAACGAGGTTTTACGCCCATTCATTGGCAAGTTCATCGTAGTATACTTTGACGACATCTTGGTCTACAATGGTACCCAAGACTCCCACCTCCAGCACTTACGACAAGTGTTTGAGGCACTTTGATAGGAGAAGCTTTATGCCCATCCTAAGAAGTGTAGTTTCTTCACTTCCGAGGTTATGTTCCTCGATTTTTTCATCTCTGAGAAAGGAGTTTCCGCAGACCCCGAAAAAGGTCCACGAGATAGTCACCTGGCCACGACTAGGCAGCATGCATGACATTCGGAGCTTCATTGGACTAGCAACGTTCTACCATCGTTTCATTCGGGACTTTAGTTCCGTTACCACTCCGCTTATTGATTGCCTGAAGAAGGAGACCTTCCTTTGGAGAGAGGCAACTAAATAGGCCTTCGATCGGGTGACGGTTCTTATCACTCAAGCATCTATACTTTGCCTACTGAACTTTGGCAAGGTATTTGAGGTCGCCTGTGACGCCTTGGGCATCTATATTGGGGGTGTCCTTAACTAGGAAGGCCATCCCATAGAGTACTTCAGTGAGAAGCTAAATGACGTGAGGCTTAGATACTCCACTTACGATTGTGAGTTTTACACTGTCATTCAAGCTCTCAAGCACTAGCACCATTACCTCCTTTATAAAGAGTTTGTGCTCTTCTCAGACCATGAGGCCTTGAAGTATCTGCACTCTTAGCGGAAGCTGAGCGATCGACACGGATGATGTGTCGAGTACTTGTAGAACTTCACCTTCGTCCTTCGCCACGAGAAGGGCAAGGAGAACGTGATGGCAGACAACCTCAGCCGACGAGTCAACTTGCTGAACCTCATGAAGGTTTAGGTGACAAGATTTGAGTCCCTACCAGATTCTTACGCAGATTGCCCGAACTTCGGCCACATTCTATGAGCACTTTCAAATGGTCCATCCCAAGATCATAAGGACTTCCTTTTGGTCAACGGATGTCTGTTCTTTAGGAGAAGACTGTACATTCCACACACATCCCTCCGTGACTTCCTCACTTACGAATGTCACGCAGGTCTATTAAGTCATTTTGGTCGCAATAAGACCATTGCAGCGATCGAGTACCAATTCTACTGGCCGACCCTCAAGCGCGATGTAGGGAATATTGTCGCTCAGTGTCAAGTGTGTGCACTCGCCAAGTAGGTAAAGAAGAATGCTGGACTCTACACGTCACTTTTAATGCCACCCGCCCATGGGACGACATCAGCATGGACTTTGTTTTGGGACTCCCACGCACTACACGATGACATGACTTGATCATGGTGGTCATTGATAGGTTTTCAAAGATGGCACACTTCGTGCCATGTTTGAAAACCTCTGAAGCCTCCAAGGTCGCTAGCCTCTATTGTAGAGAGATTGTGCGCCTTCATGGACTACCTAACTCCATAGTCTCAAACCATGACGTACGGTTTACCAGCCACTTCTGGAGGACTCTTTGGAGCTTACTTGGGACTAAGCTCAAGTTCTCCACTGCTTACCATCCACAGACTGACGGCCAGACTGAGGTCGTCAATCGTAGCTTAGGGAATTTGCTTCGGTCATTAGTTGGCGAGAGCTTGACCACCTGGGATCTGATCATATCACACGCCAGTTTGCCTATAACTTCTCGACCAACTGTACCATTGGCATGAGCCCCTTTAAGATTGCACACGACTTAGCACCCCGCAAGCCCCTAGATCTAGTACCCCTAGACCCTCAAGTTAGAGTTTCCGAGGATGGTGTCACATTCGCCCAGCATGTTAGTCATTTACATCAAGACATCCACGATAGGATACAGAGTCAGAATGCATTGCACAAGCAGGCTGTCTAATGCAGGACAGGGCGAGAACCCTTGTGCCTAGTGGCAGTAGACCATGAGCTGTGGCTACCAAGGTAGCTCGCTCCAGACGCTCAATAGCCTGGGTCATGCTATAGATGACATCTTATGGGAGGGAGTGCACTCCATCCCTCAAAGGGTACTGGGGCGAAGGTTGCCATCGGCCACCTCTGCCACGACCCCTGGTACTCCTCGGTGGATAGTAGGGCACAGATTCCTTCCTAGCTCTGTGGCTCGTAGCCGCGGGCGGCTGGGGCCACCTTGATGCCTCTCCGGCCGACATAGGGCTCGGAGTCTCCTGGGGTTGGGAGGGGTCTGGTATCAAATTTGTCGGTCTCGACGGAGAAGGTGGACTCGTGACGACTCTAGCTACTCGGGGAGTAGCGGGATTTGAGGCCTCGCACGAGTGTTGTGATAATGGTGAACCTCATTGAGCTCTAGCTGAACGTGTCTCTACCATGGCTAGGTCCTAAGGGTGCCTAAATGCCAATGTAATCCTATATGAATGGTCGACTAGGGGTATGGAAGCTCAGTAATTCCTCAGGGGACCAAGGTTTGGTGGTAACCTAACCTGGCTCTAATACCAATTTGATACAGGACAGGGCGAGAACCCTTGTACCTGATCAATGAAACTCAAGACCTAGGAAGGGGCAGTCGGACCGATCCAATGAGAATGTATGGACCCTAGACTCTAGGTCTGACCACGTAACCTAAGTACAAGCAAGCATACCAATTTGCACGATCAACCCAAGACAACCTAAGAAAACACTCGATGAAGTTAATTGTGAGGCCCTCTCACTCCACGTCCGGACAGACAGTAGAACAGTCGTCGTGAGGTAGCCTAGGGCTGCAGCTCACGAATAGCGACGAATCTGGTTCAACGTCGGAAGTCACGATCCGATAACCATCCTATCCTATCTACGTTCTCTTGATGGCGGTGGAGACGAGCCGAGAAAACCCTTTGAGAGATAATGAAACTTAAGAGGAAGGGGTACGGAGCTAACCTTCGGGGCTGCGTAGCCCAGCGGGTCATGATGGAACGGAGATTCGACGAAGGCAGAGACGTCCGGTGAAGTGCGATGCTCAGCATCGACGGTCGGTCCTGGTCGAGAGTTGCAGAAGCCGTCGTCGTAAGGCGTGGCACGGTCGGCGCGGGCGTGGGCCCGCTGGTGGGCCGAAGGGCATGCTACCGGGCGTGGGTCCACTGGTGGGCCGAAGGGCACGCTAGCGGGCGCGTGAGGCAAGCCGCGCGGCGGCCTTAGGGCACGCGGGCGGCGGCGCCGGGTGGGCGCGCGCGGCGGCAGCGCTTCAGCGGGAAGGCCGAGCGTCAGCGGCGCTTCGACGGGAAGGCCGAGCGTCGGCGGCGCTTCGACGGGAAGGCCGAGCGTCGGCGGCGCTTCGACGGGAAGGCCGAGCGTCGGCGGCGCTTCGACGGGAAGGCCGAGCGTCGGCGGCGCTTCGGCGGGAAGGCCGAGCGTCGGCGGCGCTTCGGCGGGAAGGCCGAGCGTCGGCGGCGCTTCGGCGGGAAGGCCGAGCGTCGGCGGCGCTTCGGCGGGAAGGCCGAGCGTCGGCGGGGCTTCGGCGGGAAGGCCGAGCGTCGGCGGCGCTTCGGCGGGAAGGCCGAGCGTCGGCGGCGCTTTTGCGGGAAGGCCGAGCGTCGGCGGTTGAGGCGGAAACCCAACCGTCGCCGGAAGGATCGGCCTTCTCTGGCGGCGCCGGGAAGCGGAGCAGAGAGGAGACGATCTGGCCGACGATACCAGGGAGGGTTGAGCTCTCCTGGTCTAAGCAGCGCCGGAAACGGCGCGACGGCGGCGGAGCGTCAGGAAACTCCGGCGGGGGCCTGTGAGGAGCTGGGACTGGTTCTGACTCGTCGACACGGCTGCAGGGTCTCTCCCGACGTCGGCGGCAGGTAGGCGTTCGTCGGCGAACGGCCAGCGACTGGGCGGAGCGGCGGAGGGCGGCTCCGGCGAGTTTATGGTGGAGTTCCGGAGGAAGAGGCGGCAGTCGAACCAGGAGTCGAGAGACTCCGGCGGAGTGCTCGGCGACGGCTCGTAGGGAGGCGAAGCGAGCCCCTTTCGTCACGACGGCGTGACGGGGTTCCAGCAGAGGCGGCGGCGGTTGCAGCGGCAACCGCGACTGTTTCGTCCGGTGACGGCGGCGAACTCCCGGGCGGCAATGAGATGGCCGGCGGCGGCAGTGGTCTCAGGCGGCGGCGGGACTTCTCGGGCAGCAGCGTCACGAGGAACGAAGTCCTCGAAGGGGGTATCGACGGCCTTCCTCTCCCTCCTTCCCTCCCTATCCTAGGTCACGGAGAAGGTACTCACAAAACGATAATCTCTCTCAAAAATACGGAGCTCCTTGAGGGGGGGTCCTACCTCCCCTTATATGGGGCCCACAAGTGGGCTAAGGGGAGGTGGGCCCACTTGAGGCCTTCAAGCCCATAAGCTACAAAAAGGCTACAAGAGGGGCTTATTGGGCCTCTAAAAGAGAAACCCAATAAGCTCCCCTAAAAGGAGAAAGAGGAGGGTCCTCATATGGTGCTTAAGTGGGCCTCAAATGAAGACCCAAAAGAGGCCCAAAGGAAAGGAACATAGGTCCCCCCCCCTTAGGGTTTTAATTGGGCCTAAAAAGAGAGACCCAATAAAACCCTAAAGAAAGGGAGACACAAACAACAACGCACACACATAGAATTGGGCCTGCTAACACACAAACGCGAGGCCCAACAAGTCAACGTGAAAATACAAAGAAAGATAAGGGTGAGCTTGAGCTTGTCGTCGTCGTGGAGGTGGAATGTCGTCGTCCCGAAGGGCTAGGCCGTGTAGCGAAAGCCAGGCTCCTTCATTTTCGCATGTCGATTGGGCTGAACTCGGACTGCCGGTGTCTCCTGCATTGGTGGAGACGGGTCCTGCTCGCCATCACTGCCGATATGCATCGTCGACCTCAGATCTTCTAGGTGAGAGACTAGGTTATGGTGAGGATGAGGCCTGAGCGTTACACTCCTGGCTCTATTACGAAGCTTCACACTCATAGCGCCAGCCCGTTTCGTGTTCTTTTCCGGATAGGTGAGAATGCTATGCTGTCGACATCCCTCTTTCGTGGGGGATTAACTCCACGTCCAACTTGGTAGATCTAGCGTCGCACTAAGCCCCACCTCTTTCATCTGACATCGAGCCCTCATCTATTGGCCCCTTCTCTGAGAGAGAGTTTGCCATGGAGTCCACTCCCCCCATTTTACCTCTTGATTGGCACGAGTGAGTCGAGGAGATTCTTTGGGAGGTAATTGACTTTATAGGGGACGGAGTTTCGCGGAGATTCCTAGTACGTTGGTAGGGTTGCCCGTCGGAGGATGATGCTTGGATTTCGGAGGCAGACCTAGAGCGACTACGACCAGACCTACTGGAGCCCCTGCCTTCCCCACTTGCCAACTCGTCGGAGTCGAGTTCTTTCGACCCCAAGAGGATTGATGGCAACCGGGACCCGTCTCCATCAGCTCAAGAGACACTGGCAGTCTGAGTTCAGTCCAATCGACGTGAGAAGACGAAGGAGCTTGGTTTTTGCTACACGGCCTAGCCCTTCGGGACGACGACATTCCACCTCTGTGACGATGACGAGCTCGAGCTCACCCTTATCTTTCTTTGTATTTTCACGTTGACTTGTTGGGCCTTGCGTTTGTGTGTTAGCGGGCCTAATTCTATGTGTGTGTGTTGTTGTTTGTGTCTCCCTTTCTTTAGGGTTTTATTGGGTCTCTCTTTTGAGGCCCATTTAAAACCCCAAGGGGGAGGACCTATGTTTCTTTCCTTTTGGGCCTCTTTTGGGGCTTATGTGGGTCTTCATTTGAGGCCCACTTAAGCACTATACGAGGGCCCTCCTCTTTCTCCTTTTAGGGGAGCTTATTGAGTCTCTCTTTTAGAGGCCCAATAAACCCCTTTTGTTGCCTTTTTGTGGCTTATGGGCTTGAGGGCCTCAAGTGGGCCCACCTCCCTTTAGCCCACTTGTGGGCCCTATAAAAGGGGAGGTAGGACCCCCCCTCAAGAAGGCGTGCCGAATTTTGTGAGAGATTATTGTTTGTGAGTTACCTTCTTTGTGACCTAGGATAGGGAGGGAAGGAGGGAGAGAAAGACTGTCGATACCCTTTGAGGACTTCGTTCATCATAACACTGCTGTTTGAGAAGTCCCGCTGCCGCTTGGGACCAACTGTCGCTGCCGGATATCTTCATTGCCGCCCGTGAGATCGCCGCTATCACCAGACGAAATGGTCGTGGTTGTCGCTGCAACCGCCGCTGCCTTTACTGGAACCCCGTCATACTGTCGTGACGAAAGAGGCTTGCTTCGCCTCCCTACGAGCCATTGCCAAGCACTCCGCTGGAGTCTATTGACTCCTAGTTTGACTGCCCCCTCTTCCTTCGGAACTCCACCATAAACTCGCTGGAGCCGCCATCCGCCGTTCCGCCCAGTCGCTGGCCATTCGCTGACAAATGCCTACCTACCGCCAACGTCGGGAGAGATCCTGCAGCCGTGCCGACGAGCCAAATCCAGTCCAAGCTCCGCACAGGCCCCCGCCAGAGTTTCCCAATGATCTGCTGCTGTCGCACCGTTTCTGGTGCCGCCTAGACCAGAAGGGCTCAATCCTCCCTGGTATCGTCGGTCGGGATCATCTCCTTCCTCTGCTCCACTTCCCAGCACCGCTAGAGAAGGCTGATCCTTCCGGCGACAGTTGGGCTTCCGCCCAACCGCCGACGCTCAGCATTCCCGCCGAAGCACCGCTGCCGCACGCGCCCCACACGCCGGCTCCTGCAGCCCGCGTGCCCACCAGTG